TTCAAAGGACATTAAAAAATTTTTTTTTTCGCTTTTTAGTCAGAAATCAGCTTAAAAATTGTCTATTGCCCAGAAACTTCGAGATATTTTCTATTAACAATGAATTAAACCTCTCTGAGCAATCACAAAACATTATTTAAATTTTTTACAGTCATTAGCATGGTTGCCTAGCAACCTAGTAAAATTAAGCATTCCTCTTTTGAATTAGTCAATGGGTTATCTTAAAATATTCATTTGCGCAGGCGACTTTTTTTGGCGGTTTTCTGGACTATCGCCAAATATATAAACCTTTATTGTGACCCAATTTACGATCCAATTTTTTTAAAATTTTGTCTACCCCCCCCCTAATTCAAGTGTTTAGATTCCAAATATGTAAAAAAATTATATGTTTATTCAGAGAAAGTACGTTTTTGTGTCTGATTTCGTATATTAATTACTAGTTAGCACTAATTAATTAGCAGACTTGAGGTCACCCCCAGGAACCATTAAGATTGACACTTAGTTCGTGAAAATCCGATCATTAAAACGAAAGTTATTCAGGGTGATTCGGTTTTTTTTGCGGACTGTACATGCAATCTCATACATAGATACAAGTATTCTTAAATAGTAGTACACCTTGGGATTTTATATTACTCTTATAATCTACAATATCCTGACTACGGTTACTATAAGCCGTACAGCTACTACTGAATTCACGCAGTTTTAGAGAGTATTCTTGCTAGTTGCAGCAAAGTTTGTGCATAAATATTTTAATAATTTCGATTTAATAAAAATTTGTTTACCACTATTTATAAAAAATAAAAATATACTTATAAATGTTCTAGATTTTGCTCATTGCTTTATCCAAAAAATCATCCAAAAAATCGAAATGCGGCTCTCTTCATGTGAGAGGCTGTGTTGTCAACAGTCATAATCAATATATTCCCTACGCAGAGATTTAATAAAAATTTGCTCACCACTATTTATAAAAAATAAAAATAAACTAATAAATTTTCTGTGAGCCGTTATCTTCGTACTTTGAAATACTATGTTTACAAACCTCTCGCGCCATCTGACACTAATACGTGCCTGCATAAAACCGAATCAATCAGGGTTAAAAGAGAAAACTGGTAATCAAAGTATATTTCCCTAGCAGTTTATTTGTGGGCGGAGTTATATTTGTTTGATTTATTTAATGCGCCATTAATTGGTTCAAAATAAAACTATTTAGTTATATTTTGAATTAACATTGATTATATACATATGATTAAACTAACAATAATTAAAGTAAAAGCAAAGTAAGTCAGTCTTCGTATTTGCTTTAATTTTGTTTTAAAGATAATTTCATATGGGATTCTCGTCAAGTGTTGAATTACAAATGGCCTAATACTTACAGCCTAGAAAACAGTGGTTTCTTTTGGTAAAGTGGCATATTTAAGTGTTTTCTTATGAGGGGTTTTAGAGTTTTAACAGTTATCTAAAAGTTACAACTGAAAAAAGTATTTTACCGGAATCTTAATTGTTTCAAGTATGATATTATAGCAATATTTGTATTTACCGATTTAAGGTCATATTTCAAGGCAGTGCTTAGGTAAGTAGGCAGCTCTGTTAGTATTACTAAAAATCCATAATCGAATCCAAAATGAGCTATGGCAAGAGCCCATACGGGAACAGACATGAATATGCTTTTCCAAACATCTCTTGACATCTAAAATGATTAAAAAAAACACACATTCTAACTACTTTAAAAATATGTTTTGCTCTTATTTTAAATATAGTTTTTAATTTGAACTACGTGGTGTCTCAGGGGATGGAGCATTCACTTTCCAATCAAGTGAACCGGGTTGGAATCCCAGCGATGGTTGATCGATACGAATTCCGCATCCGGCTTGCACCGACCACAGTGCTGACATTAAATATCCTTAGTGGTACACGGATTATGGGTTATATTCCACTTCCGTCAGGCTATCTGTGGGAGGTTTTTGTGGTTTTGCCCTCTATATAGCACAAATACAAATTAGTTCCATCAAAAAATCCTCCGCGAAATCAAATTTCTCCCAATCCAGGAGTTAACCGTTTTCTGCAATGGGTTCAAAATTACAACGCTATGGAGTTTAGTACTCGTGAACCTAAAACATTACGTCGGCTGTTTTATAATTATCACATGTTGTCTAAAAAGAGCCGTTTTAGCTGAGGGAATAGAGCACTCGTCTCCCAATGAGGTGACCCGGGTTTGAATTCCAGTGATGGCTGGTCGATACGAATTCTACACACCGACCACAATGCTGACGTAAAATATCCTCAGTAGTTAAACAATCCTTTTATCACCAGACTTACCGTGGGTGGTTTTCATGGTTTATCTCTCCATGAAACGCAAATACGGGTTAGTTCCTTCACAATGACCTTCGCCAAGGCAAGTTTCTACCATTACTGGATTCAGGAGTTACCTTACCATCTGGATTCGTTTCAAACAAGGCTACGGAGTTGAACATTGATAGTAGTAAACTTAATATTGATGGGTCGGCTGTACAACGACTTTAATAAAATAAAATTTAATTAAATGTAGTCAACTGAAATCGATAACTTTTAATAGTAGATGACCATTCAGGTTTTACTTCTTATTTGCTTTATTTTTGTTTTAAAGATAATTTCATATGAGATTCTCGTCAAGTGTTGAAATTACTAATGGTGAATTTAACAATTGTGCATTTTACAATTTAACACTTTCACTTTAAATGTTTTTTTTTTTTTTTAATTTTGAGATGAAAAATTTGGCTATACTTTCATGGCACTAATGTGAGTTTAATACTTATGAGACTTTCTTAAGAACTTTGTCCAAATTTCAAGAAATTTTAACTATGCAAAATACTTTTCATGCAAAATATTGTACCTAATAAATGCTTTTCCAAGAACTCAACACCTAAACATCTATGGTCTAGAAATATGCCAATAAAATGGTGCATAAAAATACTGTATTTCTTCACTCACAACCTTTATATCCTTTTACGCAACAATGACCTTTTCATTACATCTCATAGAATAGACTATAAAAGATATAGCAAAATCAGAAAACGCTTTCCAAAAATAATATTAATTTATTTTTCAACTTAGTTGCCAATAATACAAATAAAATTAACTTATTATACTGAAGGTATTGGCAGTACCTCAAAGATAATGAAATAACGCTTGCTGCCAAATAATATTCTAGTTTTTAACTGTTGATAATTTGTGGCAGTTATTCCTAACTGTCAGGTTAAGTTTCATGCATATATACATAACACCCTTGAATTGTGGAATTATCAGAAAATGGGAATAAAAAACTTTTAGTTTAGTGAAAATGAAAATGGTACGTGGTATTTATATTTGGTATTATTGGTGGTATCATAATTTTTAATAACTGAGAAGTTTCTTTAAATCAGAAATGTTACTAAACTGAATCAATACGTTAATGATTTCAATACTGCAACACTGACTTCAATGATGTAGAAAAATCTTTCTAAATTGGCTGTTATTGTTTAACAATGTGTTAAAGTAATTAATCAAACTGTTCATTTTAAAAACTGGACTAATATTTTAAGTAAAATTTATAATATAAGAAATAAAAATGTTGTTTCGAGTTTAAAACTCAATTTTTTCTTTCAATTTGTTTATTTAATTATTAATTTTTTGACCAAAAAAGGGCAAAATATGTAGACGGTGCTTTTTGAGCATACCTGCCAACTCTCCCGCATTTTGCGGGAGATTTTATTTTCACATTTAAAGTGGTAGTAAATATATACTATTTTTTCTTTTATAAACTTAATTTTTAAATGATTTTGATCACCACTATTCTTACAAAAATTAAGCTTATATATTAATATGCGTTACTATCATGGTTGTCAACTTAATTTTTTTCAAATACAACGTATTTGTTTGCTTAAAATTGAAGTTTTAATTCCATTTTAATACCACTGGGAAAAATGATAATGGAAGGGATTAAAAGTTGGCACGTCTGTTTTTGAGTTTTGCAACTGGAAGATTGAAAAAGGTTTAAGCCATCAAAATTAAAGAGAGGTATAAAGAATCAGTTGAATATTTCTACGCTTTTGATTGTTCAAAACTTCATAAAAGAGCTCGATAGTTTGAAAAATTAATAATATTAGTTTTAAGTAAATTTATTTTTAGATTATATAATAACAGTACTAATTAATTAAAAATGAATTCGTACCTTTTTCTTGATTTCAGTTTTGTTTTCTTCTATGTAAAGTAATTCTTCTTTGGAAATACTAGGATGTGTTGATGGATTTTCGTGAATTAAAACAAGCCAAAACACAAACCATAGGCAAGCAATAACACCTGGAATTTAAAATATTTTCTTTTTCTAGGAAAAACTGTAATTGTATTGAATGTTAGTAAGAAAACTGGTCATTTATTTACTCACCTGGATTCACATTACCTGAACACCAATTTACCTAGATTTTTATTTAGAGGTTGTGTTTGGCAAAATAAATTTAAAAATACTTTTCTAAACCAGAAAGAAGGGAATAAAATATATATTTTGTTATTACTAGAAAAATCTTGCATACAAATCTAAATAAGTTTTTCATCTCTATCTCCACAACATTGGAGAATTTACAATAACCATTTTGATGAATAATTATTCTGTTTATGGGCAAGGATTCTCAACCAAAAACTTCAGCAGTAGTTTGAGGGTCTACGTTATGATTAAAACAATTTTGTCCACCATTACATATACATTTAATACACATATAAGAGCTGTGGTGTCTTAGGGTATCGAGCGTTCACCATCCAATGAGGTGAACCGGGTTTGAATTACCCTTGTTGTCAGGCCAACCGTGGGAAATTTTCGTGGTATTATTTCCCGTGTAACGCAAATATGGGTTAGTTCCATCAAAAAAGTTCTCCACCAAGGCGAATTTTCCCAATACTTGATCCAGGAGTTCCCTTGTCTTCTGGATTGGATTCAAAATAACAAGGCTTCTGGTTTGAGTATTAGTAGTCGTTAACCCAAAATTGGGTCGGCTGTTCAACGACGTTTATAAAATAAATTAAAACACAGATGCAAAAGGCACAATTATGATACGCTAAGAGCTTTCACCTACTGTTTTTTTTTTACCCCTTGGCTAAATGGGTGTTGTTTAGGGTTTGATGGCGTGCGAACCTTATTAGGACGTCATCCCACTTTTCAACAGTGTTCAAGAGTAATAGTAAACAGTGCGCGTGTGTCGTCATTGCATGTGTTGCAACCGCTGCTGTTTTATAATTTTTTTAGAATTATTTTTTCCACTTTTTTGTTATGCATTAAGTTGGTGAGTCTATTTTTGAGATATGGAGCTAGAGAGATCCCATGAACATTTCTTGAGTTGCGAATAAAAGAGAATTTTATCATTTGAACGATATTTTTGTTTTTATTGTTTTAATTAAGAATCAGAAATTCTAACCTACAGTTCGAATTGAATGGGTTTCAATACTAATTCATTTGAATATCACAAATAAAGAGGGTCCAAACTGATTGACACGGTTCCTAAAGTAACAGTTGAATCAAGAAAAAAAAGACGCCAAAGCCTAAACTTACAGAGGCTGAATAAGCCAAAGAGTGTAGACGGGAATACCTTAAGCGTTACACACAAACGGAAAAACGAAAGGATTTCGTTCGCAAACGCAAGCATGAAACCCTCCCCAGAGAAAAAGTACCAATGTGGTTGTGAGAATTTAACCCTATCGAAGAGCGAATGGTGATCTCCGAACTCCTTTCATGCAAATACAAGAACTGGGTGTTGATCACCAGTTAGGGATAAAAGGATCCATTGTCAACGTTCCCAATAACACGATAATATGAATAGCGATAAAGAACACCATAATGTGAATGGCGATATTTTTAAATTGAGTACATGCGAAAATCAATGTTTGTTATCACAAACGCGACAATATGAATAGCGACTTCCGATTCTAAATTCGCGTGAATACGAAATGCGATATTGGGTTTTAAAAACGCATAAACTAGAATCGAGGCATTGATTTGAAAAACGCGTGAATACAAATTGCGTTAATAGATTTTTAAATCACGTGAATACGAATTGCGATGTACGATTTTTTAATCTCTGGAAAACAATTCCTAATGTGTAGTTGTTGTAGTTCATTTATGTCGTACTAGAGCTGCACAATGGGGTAATGGCGACGGTCAGGGAAGCATCCCTGAGGATGATCCGAAGACATGCCATCACAATTTTGATCCTCTGCAGAGAGGATGGCACCCCCGCTTCGGCTGCCTGATCGCACGCGAAGTCAAGCACTATACGGTAAAACAGTTTAACGAGGACCAATACCGCACAACCTAGGTCCCTACGCAGACTGATCCAAGTGGTAACCCACCCATACACTGACCGCAGTCAGTGATGCTTGACTTCAGTGATCTGCTGGGAACCGTGTCTTAACGATGAGTCCACTGTGGGACCACAATGTGTAAATTTTAAATCAGTTAAATACGAAAATCGATGTTTGCTATTTAAATTACGTAAATAATAAATTACGATATTAGCGGATTCTAGCGTAGTTACAAGTATTAAAAACAGCAAAAATTCGACAAACCAAAAAAAAAATTAAAAAAAATCAAATTGGGGGAAAAATTATAACTAAGAAAACGTTTCATTAACGTGATATAGAGAAAGTTTCAAAATTTAAATTTTCTATTCGGGAATTCTTAATTCTTACCTTTAGTCTTAAATCTTATTTTAAATTTAAGATTGCAATGGAAATTGAGTCGGATTATATGTTTTGATTCGCGGTGGTCCGCAAATCAGTCTTGGAAAACGCGGAATTCTGTAAAAAATTCTCTGCTCTCGGTTTTTAAACCTAGAAGGAGGATACGAAAAATCCGGAATTTAGGGGTTCACCCGGAACATTTGATAACATTGAAACATAAGCGCAGCTGCAACTGGAGCAAATTTCCTCCAAAAGCGGAGAAAGTTGGCAGCACTGTGTACAGTCCGCAAAAAAAAAACGAATCACCCTGAATAACTTTCGTTCTAATGATCGGATTTTCACGAACTAAGTGTCAATCTTAATGGTTCCTGGGGGTGACCTCAAATATGCTAATTAATTAGTGCTAACTATTAATTAAGTTACGAAATCAGACACAAAAACGTACTTTCTCTGAATAAACATGCATTTTTTTTTACATATTTGGATTTCTTATCTTCAAAATATAGGGGGTAGNCTCCTTTCATGCAAATACAAGAACTGGGTGTTGATCACCAGTTAGGGATAAAAGGATCCATTGTCAACGTTCCCAATAACACGATAATATGAATAGCGATAAAGAGCACCATAATGTGAATGGCGATATTTTTAAATTGAGTACATGCGAAAATAAATGTTTGTTATCACAAACGCGACAATATGAATAGCGACTTCCGATTCTAAATTCGCGTGAATACGAAATGCGATATTGGATTTTAAAAACGCATAAACTAGAATCGAGGCATTGATTTGAAAAACGCGTGAATGCAAATTGCGTTAATAGATTTTTAAATCACGTGAATACGAATTGCGATGTACGATTTTTTAATCTCTGGAAAACAATTCACAATGTGTAGTTGTTGTAGTTTATTTACGTCGCATTAGAGCTGCACAATGGGGTAATGGCAACGGTCTGGGAAACATCCCTGAGGATGATTCGAAGACATGCCATCACAATTTTGATCCTCTGCAGAGGGGATGGCACCCCCGCTTCGGCAGCCCGAAGACCTTCACGCAAAGTCAAGCACTATACGGTAAAACAGTTTAACGAGGACCAATACCGCACACCCTCGGTACCTACGCAGACTAATCCAAGTGGTCACCCACCCGTACGCTGACCGCAGCCAGTCACTTCAGTGATCTGCTGGGAGCCGTGTCTTAACGATGAGTCCACTGTGGGACCACAATGTGTAAATTTTAAATCAGTTAAATACGAAAATCGATGTTTGCTATTTAAATTACGTAAATAATTGCGATAATACCGGATTCTAGCGTAGTTACAAGTATTAAAAACAGCAAAAACTCGACAAACCAAAAAAAAAAAAAAAAAAAAATCAAATTGGGGGAAAAATCATAACTAAGAAAACGTTTCATTAACGTGATTTAGTGAAAATTTCAAAATTTAAATTTTTGATTCGGGAATTCTTAATTCTTACCTTTAGTCTTAAATCTTATTTTAAATTTAAGATTGCAATGGAAATTGAATCGGATTATAAGTTTTCATTCGCGGAGGTCCACAAATCAGTCTTGGAAAACGCGCAAATTCCACAAGATTTGAGAAAAAAAATCACATTCTTTGCTCCCAATATTTAGACTTGGAAGGGGGACACGAGAAATCAGGAATTTAGGGGTTCACCCGGAATACAATCACATTTGATAACATTGAAACATAAATGCAGCTGCCACTGGAGGAAATTTCTCCCAAAAGCGGAGAAAGTTGGCAGCCCTGTGTGCACACAATAATTAATGGATTACCAAATATATAGAAGACTGATGGCCATCCTCCTAATGCATCTGTAGTGCAGAGCAGTCCAGCAATGGGCATTCCAATGACAGTGCCTATTTGCATTCCAGAAAATATAACAGCTGAAGACCTGCTTCTCTCGCTCTCTGGTGACCATTTGCTGATCGCGAAATTAATTGCCGGAAACGTCATCCCCTTGAAATACACATACACATCAACATGAAAAAACAAATTGAAGTATAGAGTCGAAGAGGGTTTTATGTGACATTTTTCAAACATTTTAAATTTCTGTGGGAAAAAGTTATCGCTATATTTAAAGTCCTGGAGTGCCTTATTGGCTCTTGGAATTTCCGGCAAAATTAAATTCCTTGTGCACTTTTGCATCCAAATAGAGTCTCGGTGCTGCCATCTAGTGTGGCAGAAACTAGACGTCCAAATTAACATGACCAACGGTATCTCCCCCATTGTGGTGATCCTGAAAGAATGGATACCACTTCTGGAGATGGCACTAGGTCTGCTCATAGGGAAGACTGATTGTGCAGCTTATTGGAAATAAAAAAATTAAAATTTTTTTTTATTAATTTTGGTAAGTCATTAAATTTTGCTATTCTCATTGGATGAAAGGTTCTAGTTAAAAATTTATGAAAATCTCTTTGCAATATTATTATTTTCAACAAAAATATGGAGTATATTCTTAAATGTACCCTTAAGCTGCTGACTTAAAGGACGTCCAAAATCAGGACATTAACTGGTCTTCTAACTCTCTACACAAATGGAATTTGAATCATAGATTTCTTTTATTGAAATCATTCAACACTGCGCTTCATCTACCGATTTTATTTTTGGGAGTCATTTTATATCTTGGAAAATTCCAATAATTTAGTTAATTATCTTTCAAGTATTTCTCCGCTTTCCAGTATTTGGGAGTCTATTTTAATTTAATCTGTTGTAATTCATGATTCTCAGTAAATCCTCTCCCAGCTATTTCGCATCTGCCCAATGTCAGTCCCTCGTTCTAACTTGTTCTTCTGTTCCTATTGGTGCTAGTCCCTTTACTTTTACACCTTCATTTGACATTTAAACACTGTGGTAGGATCCTGTTAATAGAACTGAAACTATAGTGTGTCAAATTATGTACTTTCATTTGCGCTTAATTCACATTATTATCTTGTTTTTAACATTTAGTAGTTTTTAGATTTGTTATGAACAGATCTTACGATTTCCCATGATATCTAATGTTTTAGTTCCATTTCCTTAAGTTACTATTACGAATTTTTGAATAAATCAGCGCAAAAAAATTCAAATGTTTACAAATATTTAATTTTTTTTGAAAATAATTTTAACCTTTGCCTACTCTTATAAAAGCCTATTTAATGTCTATAATTTAATGGAAAATAATTAATTTTCGATGTTTACGATTACCCTTAAATTTTAACTCATTTATATGGATTTTTTTATGCTTGAGAGGTGAAACTTTTGGTTTATACTCTTCGTACGCATAAAACCTGTAAATTATTCTATAACTTTTGGTTGAGTTTGAATCGATTTAACGTGAAAATGCTTAGTAAAGATAACTCACTTGTCTAGATAGCATCCTTCCTCACTGTAAATTCTATTTGCTAAGGCTTACCTTGGGGAAATAGGTAAACTTCAGATAATCACATTTAAACTAACTTAAAACTCGAAAAAAGAATCGGTAGCTTTCCCAGTATTATTTCAGTATTAATTTTTCTTCTTAACATCGGGACTGGACAAATAATGCAAACAAGTTTAAGGCAGAACGAAAATCAAGCGACCAGTTAATTAGTTATTTCTTACGTCGCCAAGACCTTGTATGACTCGATTAACAATGACGCCAACATAACTCCAACTGGCAACTAGAGGAAAAAGCAGTGATACTGTTGCTGTCAGAAGTATTCCAATACCATACACATGCTTGGCACCGAATTTCTCCGCCAGAACACCGCCGAGCAACTGTGTAGCAATGTTACCGTAGAAATAAGAACCAAGAATAACTGCTTGCTTCTGAATGTTCCAATCATACTGCTCGCCCTAAAAAGACAGAAGGAAATTTTTGTTTCATAATTAAATTAGACAGTGATGTGACTGATATGCAAAATACATACAATTTTAAAATGTGATTAATAGCTGTGATGTGATTAATATGCAAAATGCATACAATTAAGAAAAAAACTGCCAAAAGATGAATTAAAAAGTCTCCTGTGAACCCAAAATGCCCGTTTTAAGAAAGGGGTATATCTTGAAATGCATGTTTCAAATGAATGCAGTTTGCTCATAATGAGTGTTCCAATAAATAAACAGAAATAGAAATACGTTCTAGCATGGAAATTTCTCTGAATGTTCGTGGAAAACTCTGTAAAAAGCACAAAACGTGGCTTTTTTTACAGTCAATTTATATATATTAACTAAATTAGGAATATATACTGCGCAGAGTATAATTGCTTCAAATTTTTTAGTTAACAGGGTGGCAACAGTCGGAAAAAATCAAAGTTTAAGACAACTATGTAATGGGATTATAGTAAATACCCGTAAACGTATGTATGTATGTATAACAATTATTTTATACGATTTAAGCTATAAGCACCGTTATATATGTCATGCAGTTATATATATAATTGTAATTATATATGTCACACCTTTTTTTTCACATATATGGTTTTCCTTTGGGAACAAATTTTTGCGACATGGCCTTGAGTTAATGCGAAAAATCGTTCTTGAGCTTCCAAAAAAGAATGAATTCACACTAGAAAGACAGAAAGAGCCAGTATAGCCCTTCCCAGATTGTTCCAAAATCTTAAAATATAATCATAATTAATTTAATAAAAACCTATTATAGGCTTGATCATCAATAATATATATAGCATTTCATTCGATTTGGTTAATGAAAATATTTCATTAAATAAGCACTTAAATTGGATCAAATTATGAAAAGTCAGGAGCACTGAATGCTTTCAGTAAGTTATTTTTTGAATTACAGAGCAACAAAAAATGGAAGGGGCCAAATTCACGCCACTCGTCTTTCTAGGGTTGATTTTTAAATGATCCAAAAATATTTTTTTGAAACTAGATTTAATTAAATTGTTCTTAGCTGAATTTTAAAGCAAGCTGTATATTTCTTAAATGAAAATAAATGCAGTAGTACATTGCAAAATGATTTTTCTTGTAAATTAAGTAGTTAATTAAATTTAATTTTAAAACTTAAACAAATGTAAGCTAATTGCAATTTTCCGTATTGTAAGCCCTGTAATTGGGGTTTCTTTTGTTTCAACGGCGAAAAGACACATTAAAAAATATGTGAAAAAATTTAAAAAAGAAAGGAGAGAACTATAGTATCCTTTTTATGATGACCTCGAGTCATTATTTTTTTAAAATACCGAACTGAAACTCAAAGAATATTAAATTCCGTAAACAATCTAAATACCAAGATAATACGTTTTAAAATTAAATAAGGATGCAGATAAATTCTTACTTTATATTCTTCATTGTCAATCTTTGATTGATTATAATCAAAGTTTGGACACTCAGCTATGCTATCCAAAGATCTCTTTTCGGGTAATACCACTGTCTGCTTGACCATCGCGACAATGGTCACGCTGATACTGGCTCTAATAGCGTACATACAAATAGTACCCACAAGTGCGAGAAAAACAAAAATATATCTCTTTGGAAGATAATAATCCAACCATTCTGAAAATAAAAAGAATATTAATGTTTTGATATTGATCGCTGTTTAAACTAATACTATAAGCCTTTAAAAAAGTCTTAAATAATTTTAAAAAATTGACGTACTATTTTTTTATTTTTACTGTGTTTGTGTTATTTCGTTTGTTTATGTGAGGATGGATTCTTTACTATCAAATGTTTAATCATTTTTCCACCAGTAAGCAGTACTCAAAATCTCCAATAGCGAGCAATTAAACTTCAATCGTTTAATTGTAATTTGTATTCAAAAAGAATATAAGTTTGATCAAAGTTTGAACGCTTTCTGACTAATGTTGGGCAAATTTCCATTGGAATTTAGTGGCTGATGATAATAAAAGGTCAATTGGTTTCCTAACCCACGATGAATTGAATTTGTAGCCAAATAAATTATGGGAATCAATCGTCCGATAAAATCTTGTCCACTTTCCAGCTACCTAGAATGCTCATTATTTAGCTGGCGATCTGTACTGAATGACAAAACACGGGTCAATTGTTTTCAGACTGCAGATAACACATACTATCGCTAACTAAAATTTCGAAACCGTCATAAGCGACCTAACACAAAATAGAAACTTATAGGAACTGAACCATTCGTTTTTCTTTCAGCCAAACACAAAACTGAAATTTTTAGTGTTGCACTATTTATTGTTTTTAATCCCATTACGGCCGACTCTGCACAGTTGGACGGAATAGTTATTAACTCAATGAATAAAAAGTGGCATTATATGAATGTTTTAAACTATGTTTCAACTGTAAAAAATTTTCTTCTTTTAGCTACCATTTTAATTTTATTAATACTCATTAAATGTATAAACAACAATATAGTTAGTTATCTGGTTCAGCAAAAGAAAAAGAAAAAATCAATAGTATTTGCCGTCACCACAGGAAATTGCAAATTTTTTTTTTATATTCATATTTTAGTCGTCGATATACTAAACTATATGACAAACGATGGCATTATCTTATCTCTTTGAGTCACGTCAGATCCGATGAATCAGTGAGAGCCGATTAGGGCTGCTACTGAGTAATCAATTTTACTCAGTAGCAATTTTAATTATTAATATATTCTAGTAGTCATGAGATACCTCTTATTTATAAGTCTTCAGAACAAAATAACATCCATTTTTTACGTTTTGAGCATTTTTGCATCTCGAGAAAAATAAGTACTTTCATATCACATTCGGTCGTAAAGGGCTAAAATTGGCAAGAGGCTTAGTCGTAACTAATGAAATGATTTAATTCTGTCCTAGTTATAGAAAATGGTAAATTTTAAAACACATAATTCATTTTAATACTAAATAAGACGAGACAATTATGTTTAAAATATATAACTACCACGTTTGAATTGGAGAATGATTGAAAGAGCTAAAATTTTAAGCATATAATTGATTATAAGAGAATTTTATTTTTGTACTAATGAGGACATGACAATCATGCTGGAAATAGGAGAATTGCCATGTTTGAATAGGAGAATGATTAAAGGATGGAAATTTTAAACTCATAATTCATTATAAAAGAATTTTATTTTTGTACTAAAGAAGAAGTAACAATCATGTTTGAAATAGGTGAATATTATAAATTTCAAAAAAAAAAATACCCTATACATTTATATTTAATTAAAATAACTGCGAACTTCGACTATTTAAAGAAAAAAATAATCCCCTTAAATCATTTATTCAAATCGCCTTAGTGTTTTGACTCAGAAGCTAGTCCAAAATTAAATAAATATACTTGAAGCAAAACTATTTTTGCTCACAAATATTATTTTTGAAATCAATAATTTTTATGTCTTACTTTGGGTCTTGATTTTCTCTGAAAAATCTACAATTGGATCTACCATTCTGTCTACTTTTGGTGCTCAAAATTTTAACGAAATAAAAGAAATAAGTGTTTTCAAATAAATGTTACAAATTAACGGTTCTTTCTGTCGTGCACGAAGGAAGTTTTTAAAAATACTTATCTGAGAGAAAATAACGAAATAACTGCTTTTAAACACGCATTTCACAATTCGTGATTTTCTTCTAACAAACACAATGATTATATTGTTTATCAAGTAAATATTTTATGTTTGAAATAGCACAGAAAACAATTAATGAAATAGCGCTTATTTTTCAATCGATTGTAAAGTGATTCTATGAAATTAAAAATAAACACACCTTGAACGTAAAATAATAGAAAAATAATTATTAAAATAAATAAGGATGAAAATGTGTTACTTAAACTTATATTCTAGATTAATAGTTAGTCATTGAATAATTATAGTGATTAATTTTTGTTAGTTATATAACTACAATTCATTTTTAAATTTAATTTACATAATGTCTCACTAACCGTATAAATTTCTTATAAACGTGTTTTTTTTAAAGTTCCTCTTAGTGATTAAAATTATTAAATTTAGTTGGTAGTACAACTATATTTTCCTTTTAAATTTAATTTATTTAATATTCTGATAAGCATGTACAATGCACCTGTGTGTATTAAGGGGAAAAACGCTTCAAACTCAATTCCACCAAATGCTCTGTATCTTCTTAAAAGAAGCAGACTCGAATTCCACCATCAGAATAGATATAAGTTAAAGCTGTGCTTACCTTATTTGGGATATTTGTTTTTATATAAGAGCTTATAAGCCGTATTATTTTTATTGTCTTCAGCATACAAGCCTACTTATGTATGTGCAATAAATAAATAAATGCAGCCCTTTTTAAAGTTTTTTCTAAATCATAAAACGTAGTTTGATGTAACAGTATAATTATTTTTAATACTTAGTTTACACAATTCCCCGATTAATGTACCGCTTCTGAAGACATTGCATTTCCCCCCTTCCCTTTCCAAATGATTAAGCATAGTTGATACGCCGTAAAAAATTATAGTGCACAGTTGCCACCATATTTGGTGTTGAGATAAACTTAAAATATTTTGCTTACGCACATATAATTTTTATTTACTTTTCTACTGTTATAACTTTATTTATTCATTATTTAATTTTTTATTTGCTTACTTTCAATACATTCTTTAAAGAACATTAGAATCAATTTAATGGCTTCTTTACAAAAACATTTTGTTAAAAAAAACAAGCACATTTTTAGTAATATATTTCCACTGTAATTATTTTTTATTATTTAATATTGTATTATTTAAAATTAAATTTTCGAACAGTTATTTTGTTGTGAACTTAATAAAATTTTTTGACTTATAAATGGAGTTACGAATTTAAAAATGTATTTAGATTACCTTAACACCAAAAATAGTAGCAACTAAACGCCAAAATTTTTACTGTGTACTTTAACTACGGTTCATTTTTAAGCTTCAAGTTAAAGCTTGATTTATATAATTTCCCATAAATTATAAATCTATATTTTACTATAGCAATGTTTTATTTTTGAAATTTTTCCAAAAAGTAATTGAAACAAAACCTGCTAAGCCTTTTTTAATTCAACATTTTTCCAGCATCTTGTCTAATTATTAAAGTGTCATCGTAAATCATTTAAATACTCGGCAACCGTATTAGTAACGATATATAGCATTATGAAACAGTTTTTTTTAAGTAACTGTTCCACAATAATTGTTAAGTTAAATAACGGTTACTCTCTCTGTTGCATACACTAATCAGCAGATAAGAGATTCAAATTTATGACGTCTATTCAGTCTTGTCACTTCTTTTGAATCAAAAATTTGTTGTAGCCTTGATAATGTTAATTGTAGTATTGCAAAATCATTTCTTTTGGTCATAAAATAAAAAGCACAACCCATCATAAAAAAATTCCTTTTATTTGGTTATAACTTTGGAATGATGACTTCATTATTTATAAATAATAATATGTCTATTTTGTATTTCAAGGAAAGATTTCTTAAGCCTATGTTTGCTAAACTTCTGGAATAAGTTCAGATTTTATTGAATGCTTAAAAAGGGCTTAAAAGGTGCTTATTTTATGTTGAAGGATTTGGTATTCTTCCCAAGCATAATGTAAAGTGCGCAAAGAAAAAAAAAACGGATCACCCTGAATAACTTCTGATCTAATAATCGGATCTTCGCGTGCTAAGACTCAATCTTAATTGCTCAAAGGTGGACCTCAAATATGCTAATTAATAAGTTCATGTGATATTTTAAGATACGAAATAACACACAAAAACGTGTTTAAATATTCAACAAGTTGTAAGAATAACTTTTCACTTGCACTGTCATGTAAGCAGGAAAATGACGTCTTTATTATTTATTACAGTTCATCTTGCTTTCATCATTTGCTTCCCCGTTAAATTATAATTTAAAAAAATTTATTATAAAAAAATTGCTTTATTATAATTTCAAATAGTAGAAAAATATTTTATTCTAAAATCTAATTCATTGTAAGATTTACAAACCAAGATTTTACAACATTTACCTTTCTTTTGCATTTTGACCAGTTGTTTATTCCAGATTTTATGGGATATTTTTTTTGTTTCATTTTATTGGATCAACTGACAATGCTCGAAGATGCTTGACGCAATAGTTTCAATGTTAATAAAATACTCATTTCAATGAAGAAACTTTTAATATTAAACATAAAACTTTAAGGAAACATACCCAAATTAACTTCAAAAAGTTTAGGTTGCAAAGTTTTTAGTTTTCACTTTCTTAGAACATTTTGAACATATTTATTTCAAATCACGTAATACCAATGCCTCGCAAAACATTTAAGATAAATAGTACATTTAAAATTTTGATATTTAAAAACAAATATTTCATGAATTATTGTTTTTATGTTTATGTTTTTTTCCTTCATCTTGTTGATGTTAAATCCAAATGTGTCCAAAAAATCCTTAATTCTTTAAAAAAAATTATTTTTTGTGTCAAAATAACTCCGCCGTTCATACAATTTTTTTTTTGTTGTTGTTGGTCGTAGATAGTTTACCGATACAACGCTACGAAAGAAGCATATTCGATCACACATTCTATCTCAAAAGTGGCACGAATGTTTTTCTTTCTACCGGTAAACTGTACTGTTGTTGTTGTAGTTAATTTACGTTGCACTAGAGTTGCACAGTGGGCTATTGGCGACGGTCTGGGAAACATCCCTGAGGATGATGCGAAGACATGCCATCACAATTTTGATCCTCTGCGGAGGGGATGACACTCCTCTTCGGTAGCCCGACGATTTGCACGCGAAGTCGAGAACTTTACGGTAGAACAGTTTAGCGAGGACCAATACCGCACATCCTCGGTCCCTACGCAGACTGATCCAAGTGGTCACCCACCCGCACACTGACCGTAGCCAGTGATGCTTGACTTCGGTGATCTGCTGGGAACCGTGTCTTAACGATCAGTCCACTGCGGGACTAAACTGTATTGAAACCCCTTCTTTGGCACTAGGAACTGAGAAGTATGCAGAGAGTGGTGAGGAAAGATTCGAGAAACGGATTGTTTTCACAACTCATAACTTTCAAAAATTAGTTTAATTTAAAAAAAAAAAACTCCTTGATAGCCATATCACGAATAAAGGAGGTGACTGAAATTTTATTTGTCTTTTTGAACTATTTATGAGTATTGGAAGACAAATCAATTTCTTTTAAATTCCTCTTATTAAGAATCAAATTTGTAGACATAAAGTTTGCTACCACTGGGAAAATAATTCGCAAAAAGTAATTTGGCATCACTGTACAGTACAGTTCTTTGCTTTAGTAGTAGTGAGCATAGGCTGCAGAATTCTGTAAAAAAATTAAATAGTGTTTACTGACTTTTCCCAACTTTCTTACTTACTAAATAAAGGCTTTGATTTTATTTCTAACTAACAAAATCTTTACTTTTTGGAATCGAATTTTGAGATTTTTAAATATCAGTTACTCAACGAAATATTACCGCTTGCATTGTTATCTCTTTTGACTAAGTAATAGCTAAAGAATTAGATTACTCTCATAACAATATATTTTTAATAAGTCGCTGCAACCATTGGCTAAGAGCTGTCATACGACAGGAACGGCAAAGCAGCGTTAATGGGTAGTGCCTTCTATAACTGAAAGCCCTCCCACAAGGTTTTTTATAGGTAGTCCGATCAGACCACTATGAAGGTAAAGTAGTTTATAAAAGAGCCATTTATTAGAAAATCTATCAAAAATTAGAAAGTGGTAGCAAATAAATGCCCAAAAATTTGTTTAATTTATGTATATTATTGGTTTGTCTTATTCACTTGTCAACCACTACAGATTCATTCTCAAATATATATGATAAATTTCTCTCAAATACTTTTATCTCTCTCTCTTCGCATGTCTGTTTAGGCAGAGGGGTACTATCTATGGTCAAGAATTCGACTTCTGCCACCCCCATACGTCGCACCCGTTTATAGGACGGACCTATTCATACATCCTTTCAATCTTCCACAGATCGTAATTTTGACCTGAATCAGAGAACGATTGATCTCCAATCTGGTACCCCTAGAGGTATTGATTTGATATGGAAACATGGAGGACTTTGCTACTCGACAAATTTAACGTGCATCAGTCCCCGTTTACTACACGTGGAGTCATCGGCCGGCGGGGTTTGAACCTACGAACTCTCGGACATGCACTCAGCGCCCTACCATGGCAGGTAACAGGCAATTCCGGCCTCAATTATTTTTAAAATAGAATTTGGGTTTACGCGCACAAGTAGTTCACTTTTTAAATAATCTGCGCAGACTACTTATGAAATACCGCGTGGAGGCTTTGTAATGTAGGAGGTAATGTAATAGTGGAGTTGTAAAACGTTTAAAAAAGAGTAATCGCCTCACTTACGTCATCTTTCTATTCTAGTTATAGCTCGTTCACCAGGAGTTGGCACTTGGCTCCGCCTTCATCACGTGGTATGCGACGATACTATTTCGCTATTTTTGGGAGAAGGTTGTGAGCAATCCTGAAAAATGTTGCTATTTGGCGATCGTTTGGCAAAAATATTTATTTCGCAAACTTTATGTGCATTTTTTTAACAATGAATATTTCANTACGGTTTTATGCTGACACGTATTTCTGACAGTCGGCGCGAAAGGGTTAACACCAAAAATGGTGGCAACTACACGCCAAATTTTTTACTGTGTAGTTTAACTACAGTTTATTTTTAAGCTTCAAGTTAAAGCTTGATTTACATAATTTCTCATAAATTATAAATCTATATTTTACTGTAGCAATGTTTTATTTTTAAACTTTTTCCCAAAAAGTAATTGAAACAAAACCTGCTAAGCCTTTTTTATTTAACATTTTTCCTGCATCTTGTATAATTATTAAAGTGTCGTCGTAAAATATTTAAATACTCGGCAACCGTATTAGTAAGGATACACAGCATTATGAAACAGTTTTTTTTTAAATAACTGTTCCACAATAATTGTTACGTTAAATAACGGTTACTCTCTCTGTTGTATACACTAATCAGCAGATAAGAGATTCAAATTTATGACGTCTATTCAGTCTTGTCACTCCTTTTGAATCAAAAATTTGTTGTAGCCTTGATAATGTTAATTGTAGTATTGCAAAACCATTTCTTTTGGTCATAAAATAAAAAGCACAACCCATCATAAAAAAAATTCCTTTTATTTGGTTATAACTTTGGAATGATGACTTCAATATTTATAAATAATAATAATATATCTATTTTGTACATCAAGGAAAGATTTCTTATGCCTATGTTTGCAAAACGTCTGGAATAAGTTCAGATTTTATTGAATGCTTAACTCCTTGGGGACGGGTGATTCAGAAAAGCATTCGTACAAAATCAGAATCAGGATGCAATTAAATAAAAAACGGTAACTTAAATGTAGTCGTTGCTAATTTTACAGATTTACTTTGCTTTTTAACTTAACTTTAATATTAATAACGCAAGGTTGGCTTTGTTTTTGGCTATTTTATCTTTCGACAAATCGCCAATTATGGATATCTTTCTATGGTTCTAAGTGACCGTTACGAACAATGCAATCACTTTTTAATTTCAAATTTTTAACTTTAGGACTGGGGGGTTTAGTTAATTTACACAGTTAATTTGCTAAAAGCAGTTCCATCTCTCTGAAGATGTACCTCAATTATAAGCATTTGAAGCTTACTATTTTCTTTTGTTTAATTTTATGATGGAAAATATGACTTAAATTAAAGCATTTGGTGTTTGATATGTTGTTGGACTTTCAATTCTTCCCAGGAGCAAATTACTATAATCACGCTTTCATAAATCAATTGGAAAACATGCTTCCTTATCACAAATCTGGACTAAACACCACCATATTACTAATTACCAGTGTGCAATTGTTCATCATCTAGATGATCATAACATAAATTCAAAATGTGTGGTTGGATATTAATGTATTTATATTCAACTATTTTTGGCGTTGCAAAATAGTAAATTAAGTTAATACCAAAAGATAATAGTTTATACAATCTTATGTATTCTGTCACTCTTATTATAGCTTTTCATTGAAGTCACGCTGTAATTCTTACTAAATTATTACAAGATATTTAGGACAATTATAACAAACTAGGCAGTTACAAGAAGATATTATTTAATTTATAAAAACATTTATACACTAATTTCTCAGAGACAGTACTTCTGTACCTACAATTAAAATTAATCAAAGTATAAAGTGTTGACATTTAAAGATTTTTAAATAGTTCAAGCAGAGGTTTATGAGTTGAAGTTTGTGCCAAAATTTCTGTTAGAATTTTTCTGCTGAAAATAACTTTTTGCAGAGTAGAAGATATATGTGGATTAGATTCTGTCTAACTTCAGTTGCAAATTCCACTTGTTTTGATTGAATGAAAACTAGCTATAGTTTCGTCTGTAAACTCTTAATATTTATTTCCATGGGTTTCTTTACTGGTTGCTTTTCTATCTTTGACTCATCATTGACAATCGCCCATGGCTGTATTTCAGCTGATGCAAATATCACGAATATCGAACCAGTAGTTATATATACAGCAGCAGTCGTGTAGAAGACTTTGCTCCAGTTTGCAAGTGTAGCCTGAAAAAAAAATGGATAAATTTTATTTGCAAACAAATTCACACAAAACTTAAATGATTAATCTATATACTAACATAAAGTTTGAACTGACGAGGGTTTGTTGATTTGTATTATCCTGTGCGAACACATTAACTGAGTTGACTAGTCAGAAAAATTCGTAAGGAGTTAATCTGCAGACGCTAGTATATAAGAGAGATGAGGCAAAATTTTAAATGCATTATATTCTGATTCTGATTAAGAAATATATAAATCTACATGTAATTTTTTTAAAAAAAAAACTTTGCAACTCCAACAAAATTCTCCAACACCACCATTAAACGGAGATTATCTGCTTTATGATTGGTCAGAAATAGTTCTATCTAATTTAGCATTAGAAGGCAAACTGGTCACGTGACAAGAAACGTTCGCAACGCTACAGTTGAGTCAGGAATCAGATGTGTTTACAAAGAAATCGAGCAGAAACCACTGGTTCGATCGAATTTTGTTTCAGTTGCGTATGGGTCCTAGTGTGCGAAGATCCGATAAAAACTTATTCAGTATTTTATTAAGTCAATTTTTTATGCACTATACATTTTAGGAGTTACACTATGCACTATACATTTTAGGAATCACCTAAGTGATTTTGTCTTGAGCTGGGTTCGGATCCCAGCGATGACTGGTCAATACGAATTTCGCTCCTGGCTCGCACCGACCATGTTTCATGGATTAACTCTCCATTTAACTCAAATGCGAGTTAGTTCCATCAAAAAGTCCTCGACGAAGGCAAATTTCTCTCACCACTTGCTCCAGTATTTCCCTTGTCCAGAGATGCCAACTGCTCCGGACACGCCAAAATAATTAAGAAAACTGAAAATAACTACAAAATATATTTTGCAAATATTTGACTATTTTTGCTTGCCTTATGAAAGGTCTAGCAAGCGATTACGGCCAAAAAATGGTGAATTATATAAGCCTATGAATTATTTATAATTAGTGGTGAATAAAAATCTACTAAATTGAATTTATTAAACCAAGAATTACAATTGATAAACTACCACTTTAAAATATATATTTGCTGTCCGGAGCAAGTTGGCATCTCTGCTTGTTTTCTGGATTGGGTTCTAAATAACAAGGCTACGGACATTAACTAGTAGTTGAAAACCCAGAAGCTGGGTCGGCTGTTCAACAACTTTACAATATAGAATTTAGTGAACTTATTTCGAAATATTTTCCGCATCTACCTTCATTATAAAAATGGTAGCAGATACTTATTCAACTTTTCTGAACTGGAAACTTTATGTCATGCTAACTGATATAATTTTAAAAGATTTATAACTATATATTTATTTTGAAAAGTGGTACATTTTAAGATTTAGTATTTATTTTTCTTAAAATATCTCCACCATTAATATAAAGAAGTCAAAACAGAGAGGACGTTTCTGTTTATTATGCTGGTTTTGACCACCCTGTGAATATGTTTAATATTAAAGGGCTGCCATAACAGAGATGCCACCTGCAGTCGGTACCACCTGCAGCACCACTTTCAGCGGGTTGGATTTGAGATGTCGTTCTCACAAACATGAGTCCAGCGCCCAACCAACCAGGAAGATTTATTTTAATAAGTTCGTATCCTACAAAATTTAAAAATGAGTATATTGATTAACAGAATCAGAGATTTCGAAGTTTCAAAATAAAAGATAACTAAAAGGAATTAACAACTTCTTTTTAGCAATAGTGGCGAGACTTTTTACGAGTTCATAAAAAATTTCAAAAAAATGGCGCTACTGCAGTAAAATAATACAATTCGTCGTAAGGCTTTTACTTCTGATTTGACTGAAGCAAACAGTACTGCATTTTATAAAAGTGTCCATAGATTTTTGAAAAATTATGATAGAACAAATCAATTTGTAGGCCTGTATTACAATATGTTACTGCGAATGACCGAAATTGGTGGTTGTTGACTTCAACCGGTGACTGTTGGTAAGGTCTGAAGCATATCGTAGGTCTAGTTAAGTGCCATTTCCTGGTATACATTTGTCCCGTATGCCTTACACCAAAGTTTGTTTAAGGTTCAGTGCCACTTACTCGTATACAATTGCCCGGTATGCCCTACATAAATGTTTTTAATATCAAGTGCAACAGCCCAATAAGCATCTAATCGGTACTCTGAACACTGATGTCTCTCCTAATCTATCTTCAGCAGATATTAAAATATCGAATAAATATATTAATATCATTGAATAAATTAATATCAAATCAAATATAACAAATATTACGGATATTCACCAAAGCGACTATGTGATTGTTGACATTCACCGGTGAAAGTCGACATTCTCTGGATTTCGGTCATTCGTGGTAAGATATATACCACGAACTCAGTCATGTTTTTATAACTCGATTGGGCCCTGTGAGAGAATTTTACTACCTAGTATCCGACCCGTGTTTTTAGTCTCAAGACCCCGTACGTGGTACACGTACCAGCCCTAATCTATCATATATTCACAGTCAGGTAACACACATTTATATTCGACTATAGTAACCTTACAACTATTCATCAAAATAATATTAGTTTTCGAAAACCATTAACCCTTTGCACTCGAAGCTCTTTCAGCTGTTAAAAAAATGGACGCAACCACTAACATTTTGAAAGAGTTTTTTACAAACTTACCTTAAAATACCCGGAGGTCACTAAATGAAGTGGTAACTAAATATTAAGGTGAAAAAAATGTCACATTTAGGGTGGTGGGTACTTTACAGGTGACAAAGGTGACTGACAGTCACCTCTCGAGTGCAAAGGGTTAATTTCATCAGTTTGCTAATAATAAAACCGAAATTATTGGTTTAGGTACGACATATTTTGCTCTATAGCTCAAGAAAAACTTTGGTACTTTGTTTCTTTTTACTTTTGAAACGTGTCTGCGAATGATAGGTAAACGCTTACAAAAAAGACATCTGAATAAATAAAAAATCTGATGGTAAGAACTAAACTATCTTAACAAGAAAAATCCACTCAAAAAATTAATATTTGTAAATATTTATTGTTTTATTTATAATAATAAAACAAATTGAATTATTAAGCTGTGCATTTCGTTCATAATTTTTAAAGTACGCAATTTTATATGGCAAACTACAAAATTTGAATGAAATCGGTTGAATAGTTCTTATGAAATAGAAATTTAAAAAAGTCGTATATCTAATAGCTTAACTCGTGTAAGTCGTAATCAGATAACTGCAATAATATGCTTTTCTTATTTGTGTTTGTACGCTTAGAATTTTATTGAAGTTGGACAACAGTTGAAAACATATTTCTTACAAATATGACATTAACTATTTTATTGTTAATATTAATTTAGAAATCATCGAAATATATTTTTCTCTCCAGAAATAAAAGATAGTTTAAATCAACTAGTTGTTCCAACCAACATTTATAAGTAAAATCCGCAAACACCACACCCATTCTTTTCCTTACTCTTTCGCCTCAAGAATATTGTTGTTAAAACGTTGAGTACCACGCTAATTTTACATGGCTTGCCCATCTGGCCACGGTAAATAACTACAAGCTAAATTTGCAAATATTAGACGAATTTTGCTATTTTTTTAGAAGCTTTATCATGACACATCAGATGAAAGTTGTGAATTATATAAACCTACGAATTATGTAGAAATAGCGGTGGATAAAAATCTACTAAATTGAATTTATTAAGCCAAGAATCACAATAATTAAGTAAAGTTTGAATACATTTTCTGCAAGTCCATAAAAGAGTGTAAATTTTATAGTTCTAATCGTGTTATACGCTGTCAGCCAGCTGTTTTTCACGGCTTATGTTAAAGGTCTGTGTCAGCAAGCGGTGGCAGACGCAGCCTGAATGTAATTGCAGTTTCAGCCACCGGTGGTTGACGCGGCTCTCAACATGTTAATTTATAGAACGTTCTCATAAAAAATGGCTTTGCCTAAAAATAATAAAACACAAAACTATGTTTTTTTAATATATTTTCTGTAAAAAAAGCTCTTATACAATTTTTTACTAAGAACACTTTAAATGCAGCACTTATTATGAGGAAAAATATTCAGAATGCAAATATTTTCTCTTAAACACTTCTCATGGTATTCATTATTCAAAAACAAAACTCACGGTAAAAACGCAGTTCATAGTGACACTTTTGACACACGTATATTTGTCGTTGTCCAAATGTTACATAGCAGTAAACAAAAAGGGAGAGCTTTTATTTCCCAAAAGGAAAGAACAATGCAGCACAAGTATTTATCTACTTTGTAAATGCCAGTTCTACCAGTTTTTTCATATATCTATTTTTATACGTTGACTATTTTCTTGACAGGGCATTATTGGGTTAAAAAATGCTTTAATTAACTTGTTATTTTACTACAAATTTGAACAATATACGGAACTAGATCTATGGATATATAACATCTCCGCTAGGGCTCGACCCCATAACCATCATCAGCTCAACCAATCCCTGAAATTAACTTATCTCAACTTCTATCTCAAAGCACAAAGGATAAAAGCGAGTAGACCGGGACCTCTTCATCACTTTCAACTCAACGCGTTAGGACTCGATGAAAAACTCCAATCCAATAAAAAGTTGAGGCGAAATTCTCAAAAAAGAAAAAGAACCCCTTTTAAAACTTCCACGAATTTTCTTTTTCTTGCTCCATTTTGACGTGATTCATCTCCGAAATCTCATTGAGCTATATAATAGACTTATAAATATTATGGGGCTAAAAAAATTCAATAATGAACTCTTTAGTGGGCAGAAACATTCGAAACAATATTTTTTTCAGTTCAACTTCCCATGAGGTGAACCGGGTTCGAATCGCTGCAATGGCTGGTTGATTCGAATTTCGCATCCGGCTTGTACTGACCACAATGCAGACGTAAAATATCCTCAATGCTAGGCGGATGATGCATTAAAGCTAAGCGCGGGAGGCTGTCTCTCATTTGTGAATTACGAAATTATTCCATAGTTATTTTTGGCACCCATATATATTTCCAAATAAATATTCAGTGTGCGTGAGTGTGTGTGTGTGTGAGAGAGAGAGAGGGAGAGAGAGAGAGAGAAAGAGATAGCTTAAAGCATTTCACTTTTGCTACCACTTTAAAAAAAATTTGCAACCTAGGGAACCCAGCAGTTGGCAGGTGTGTCTAGACAAAACTTATTTAAACTAATGAACATCACTAATCCCAATAGTGATACCTGGGATGCCTCAGACGACTAAAAGTATAAAAAGTGGTAGAAACTCAATTCCTTTTTATTTATTTATTATTTATTTATTTATTCAATAATAATTATCACTATGACTTACATTTCAGATTATTTGTATTTAAAATGAAAATATTATGCGTGTTCACTTTTAATAGTAAACTGAAAAAAATATGCAATATGAAGTTACTAATTTTAATCTCGTTTAGTATGATTTTGAATTTTATTAGTTACCACTTATTGCATTTTTAGTCATCCGTAGCGATCCTGTGAAACATTTGTGCTGTTTTTGAGAAGGCTGTTAGGTTGTAAAAGATGAATACTTACTCCTTCAGCAGTATATATTCCAACACTCAATGGACCTAAAGCACCAGCAATGTTTGCTATTGAGTTTGTTATTCCAAATAAAGTTCCTGGAAAAAAATTGACAATATAATATATGATACACCGGATTAGAGTTACCTACCCAGAAGAAACGGCTCAGGGGACAGAGCGTTTGCTTTCTTATGAAGTGAACGGGTTTAAATCTCACTAATGGTTGGTCGATACGAATCCGCATCGGGCTTGCACCGGTCACAGTGCTGGCGTGAAATATCCTAAGTGGTTGACGGATCATGGGTTAGAGTCCCTTTGCCGTCAGGCTAACCGTAGGGGTTTTTCCTCTCCTTGCAAAGCAAGTGTGGGTTAGTTCCATCAAAATGTCCTCCACGAAGGCAAATTTCTCCCAATACTTAATCCATGAATTCCCTTGTCTTCTGGATTGGGTTCAAAATTACTAGGTTACGGAGTTGATGATAAGTAGTCGTAGACCCAAAAATTGGGTCGGCTGTTCATAATGATATGTATGGCTGTGCATAATGTATAATGGCTGTGCATAAATAATAAACGAATAAAAACAAGTTTTATTATGAAATTATTTTAATTATAAAATTACTTTTATTTAAATATCTAACTTTAAGCAGATTTTAAAGTAATTAAAATGTGTAAAAATCTTACTCAAAAACCATCTTCGCTCGAAAATAATAAAATGATTAAATATGTATTTATTTAGTAAATACATATAGAAAGTGTACGTTATCACCGCCCTTAATATATATGCTATATGCCTTATCCAAATCTATGAAGTTAAAAAATGTAGCCATGCCAGATTTTAAAATTTCCGGTATAGTTTCACAGCAGGTTTCAAATTTCCAGTATGGTTATACTGGTTCTTGTATCATTTTTACTGGTTTTTGATACTGGCATTTTCGATTTCTTTTTTCGAATAGGGTAAAAATTTAAACGAGATCTTTTTTTTCGAAATTCTCATTTGTTCGAATGTTATCTTAAATTTAAGCGTATTTTAATGTTTTTTTTCTTTAAATATTGACGCTATTTATCCACTGTTGTAGAAAATTTATTTTTCCCGCACTAGATCTTTATTCCTTTGTTTTAAAAGCTTTTGCTCGAATCGATGCAAATCAATTGTGACAAAAGAGATAGGGGTTACATGTTGACAGGCATTTACAGTTATAAGTCTTTGTATACTTCTTACTAATGGCTCAATAATACATAATAATTTTTTCTTAAAAAAACCGAAATTACCTGCAAAATCAGGGCACATATCCATATGCGTAACGTTATATCCAGATAAACCAAATCCACTGAAAGTCATCGCTATACATAGCAGAACTATGATGATTAACGAGTTACAGCCAACAAAAGTTGTAACTATCAAGGTAATAGCTGGACCAAAAACGCCTACACATAAAGGATTGAAAGTTTAATAAAACGTTATAATAAAAATTATTAATAAATAAGTAAAGCACTTCATAAAATTTAAAATCACCTGAATTTAAACTGCCTTTTAACAATGGTTTAATGTTAATCTTATTGGAAAAATAAAAGATACTCCATCTTTATGATTTCGAGGAGCATGACACCTCAGATCGTCGTTCTACGTGAGCTGTTTCATCGTGCACCAGTTACCATTTACTACCCGGGGAGTTGTCGACCGGATGGATTCGAAATCCCGTTGTAACTAGCATGAGCCCAGCTCCCTTCCAACCAGGCTATCTCGGCTTCAACTTCTTAACGCAGGGATAACAACTGCTCCGCTTTCAGTAAAACTTATAATAAATCGTTAGCGAATTAAATTGTAAACTCAGGGTCATTTTCATTGCATCCATTGACGGACCTGCGAGGATTTGTGCCCATCAAATTCTAAAAAATAATTGTGTCAGAACTGAGTAACTACTTAAAAAAAAAGTTGCACACTACACTAAAAACTACGAAAAAAAAGTAACGAGTACAGTAGTTTCGCTATTTGTAGTGCGCTGCTTTCGACCTCTGCTCAAAGGGATGCCAACTGTTCCGCTTTCTGCAAAAGTTTTAACAAATTGGTAGAATAAGAATAATTACGCTCTCTGTTTAGAAGTGTCAACACGGGGGAACTGCAATTAAGTTGCATTTCATGCAATACTTTAAATTTCTTGATCTGTGGTAGTGAAAAAATAACTATGAATGAAGAATGCCAAACTTAAAAAAATTTTTGTAACTACAAAAATATTCTTTTTACAAAGCGCAAAACGTTGGCATCTCTGTACTTAGCTCTAGCCCAAAAGGGCTCTCCGCAGAGAGGACTTTCCGGTAAACCTAATGTCATTATTTTTTTTTTTACTTAGCTACCAGTTACTGCAAGAGAAAAAAGATTTTAGAGACAAATGTGGAATTTAGAATCATTAACATTAGTTAGAGCCCCTCGCGGGGCTGATGCTAAGATAACTACCACATATGAGTATGAGAAAATCATTAAACTATCAAAGTGAAAATTAAAATGATTCATCATTTAAAAAAATGCTAATAATTTAACAAGGGAAAGCTCTTTATTTTTCACAATACCTGCAAATAATTTCAGACAGTTATTTTTGACAATTCAGACAGTTATTATTGAATTAAAGACAGTTATTTTTGATAATATGTTGCTACCATGTCTTGCTTACCCCACATATTTGTAAACAAGGAGGCTAATAATGAGTTACCAGATTTTATTTTTTTTAATTTAAAAAAGTAATTATGCATCGAAAATGGAATTGTAACGTTTAAATGATAAATCAAATCGAATCCATTATAGAGGCTTCCCTGGTCGAGTGGTATCACCAACAGCCAGACGCTCGGTAGCGTGAGTGTAGCAAGTCGATCGACATCTAAAAAACTGTTGAAATTTATAGCTTGTAATAATCAAATTAAAATGCTGCTTAAAGCAACCTGAAATAGCACCCAAGCTTCTTATTTCGTATGTTTTCTTTGGTTCACCGTCTCTTTGTCTGCGCTTACATGGAGAGGAAAACCTTCCTGGATTAGTCCGACTGTAAGGGTATTTTAACTCATGATCCGTCAGCAAGGAAGAATATTTTACATCACCACTGTAGTCGGCGTGAGCCGAGGGTATGCCACCGCTGGGATCTGAACCTGATAAATTTCATTAGGAGGTTAACTGTCTTGGCATGAATTTTTTTTTTTTTTTGAAATTCAAACTTCAAGATTTATTAAGTCGAAACACTAATGTTGCTACCACTAAAAAATTAGTTTTAAATGCCCGAAAATGCTGGCAGCTACATAGATAGAAACTGCTATATTTATTTTTGCCGTGTATGTTTCTTAGTCTAATTTCAGGATGAATGGGAAAAGGGCCGTAAGGCCTGAGACGCCCAGTTTCACTACAGCAAACGAACGAAGGATGCAAACTGCTATGGATTCTACAATATATTTTTAGAAATGGTCAATTAAAAATCGCTGTTTTTCGGTAACTTTTCAAATGGTTTATCCCGTTACAACTGTAATAGAGTGGATTTTTAGATGATGATGATTTATTTACAAGCAGTGGTGGGTAAAAATATTAATAAATATAAATTAATTTTGCTAAAATAAGAATTATGCTTTCATATTCAAAGGCTACCGCTAAGAAATATTTATCCGCGGTCCGGTGCAAGTTGGCACCTCTGCAAACAGGTGAAGAGGCAGACGTTTGTTTTTTGCTAAAAAATTAGTGGTAGCTGAAACTTAGTGAATGTTTCAAATAAAATAGATTTACCATTCTAATGGTTTGTAATTATTTCAGATTAAGCGTTTCCTGGACTGGAAATTGTGTAAAAGTATGGATCTCCGTATCATTTGATTTAACTATTCGTGTGTGATGTATATTAAGCAACCAAACATTACGAACTTAGTATTTTTATTTACATTGTACCTACCACCACGGAAAATGGTTAGCAGATACTTTTATAAAGTTTTGATAACTTTTATGCTTCTTCATAATACTACGTTTTAAAAATAAATATAATACATATATTTTTTAATTTAAGGTGGTTGGCACTTAATCACATAAATGTATATATATGCATTACGTATACCATTAGAGAGTACGTTTAAATGGAATAGGAAGGAGGGTACGTTTAAATGGAATACGTTAAAGGAATGACGTATGAGTTGATATATCAATAAATTGCTACTTTTTAAAAATTAAATTAATTTTCGCGTAGTTTTACGACTTTATTGCATTGTATAGAAATGGTGCAGGAAAACTTGACAATATGAAATATGTTTGGATTTCTTTAAAGCTAATAACTTACTGTAACATTAATCTCTATTTTTTCAATAAACAGCAATATATATTTAAATACTGCTTCAAATAAAAATTGATAAAAAGGAAGTATTTTCCAATAAATAATTCTTACTGTTATTCATCATCTAAATTGAAATATTTATGCTCTTTATGAGTTCAATAGTATTTTTTTGAATTCGTTTTTTCCAAAGTACATTTATTTATATTTGCTTTTTTTCCAATTGCATTGTACTATTAACACACGGTTTTATCTTTCACCAGAAAAATATAATTTAAATTCGACGTTACATTAAATTTTCAGCTTTATTGATACAATTTTCTTTTCTGTTGATTAGACATAAAATACAGTTTTTTCACCAGGAGTTGGCACTTGGCTCCGCCTTCATCACGTGGTATCGGATGATACTATTTCGCTATTTTGGGGAGAAGGATGTGAACAAGACTGCTATTTGACGATAGTATGACAAAAATGTTCATTTCGCGATCTTCATGTGCATATTTTGAACATGTGCATTTTATTTCATAAACTTGTTGCTATTTCTCTCTTTTTATTGAATAGTTTGTTCTTTTTGAGATATTTTGCTGGGAAAAAGCTTTTTAATATAAATAAACCAGAATAACGAAATGTATAATAGCTGATGATAAAGTGAAGTAAGTGACTGAAAAAGAATTCACTGTTTGTGTTTGGCCATCACCTTCTATATCAGAAAGCCTCCACACGGTTTCTTATAAGTAGTCTGCGCAGACTATTTAAAAAGTGAACAGTTTGAGTGCATGAAACCAAGTTCTATTTTAAAAGTGACTGAGAGGAATTTGTCATATATATTTGAGAATTGAATCTGTAGTGGTAGACAAGTAAATAAGACAAACTAATCATATTCAAAAATTAAACAAATTATTAGACATATATTTGCTACCACTTTCTTATTTTTACTAGTATTTCTATTAAAGGGCTTTTTCGTAAACTGGTTTACCTTCATAGTGGTATGATCGGACTACCAATAAAAAACCGTGTGGAGGCTTTCAGTTGTAGGAGGCCTTGTATCTCTATAGACAGGTATTTCTGGTAAGTCTAATATCATTAAATTTTTTTTACTTAGCTACCTGTTAGTGTAAGAGAAAAGAGATTTTAGCAACAAATGTATAGTTAAGAATCATTAAACTATCAAAGTGAATGAGGCTTGTCTTGCTTGTCCCATGTATTTGTAATCTAGGAAGCTAACAATGAGTTAAAAGATTCTATTTATTTATTTTGAAAAGGTGATTATGTACCGAAAATGGAATTGTAGCGCTTAAATAATTAATCATAACTTACAGAGGCCTCCCTGTCCGAATGGTATCACGCGTAGCCAAACGCTCAGTAGAGGGAGTGCAGCAAGCCTGAATCCCGCCGTACCGTCTCCCATCAAAAACTTTTGATGATTTATGTTGGTTTCAGTGTGATTCATGATGGTTATCATCATCATCCAACATTTTTCATTATGCGTTCATGATTTTTGATATGCCAACAAATTTCCATGATGGAAAATGCTACTTTAATACACTGTGATGGCTAATAATCAAGAAAAAGTTGAATTCTCATGGGCTAACCGTCTATAATGATCCATGATGGTTCAACTGTACATTTCCATGATGGTTTAATGGGAATTCTTGTTGATTTTCAGGACTAAACCATTGAAACAATTTGTTTGTTTTTTACGCTGGCTCATCAAAAATCAGTTCGAATTCCTATATTGCGGTGATGGTGGTTCGTAATCATTCCAACATTTGATTAAGAAACTATAATGGAAATTTCTGATATTCAACATGAAAAAAAACATCAAAACAAATTACTATTCTGATGTAGGACCATCATAAATCAGCCCGAATTTCTAAATTTGGGTGATGATTACTTAAGTTGGTTACCATCAAAACATATAATGGTTCATGATGAAATTATTGATAGTTACCATCAAGACTGTTTTGGTCCATCAATGGTCAACCATCCAAAATTTTGACTTGGGCTGTTTTTCCCTGAATTATCCTTCTACTCGACAAAGGCTTATCGATCTTATTTGAGCATACAAGCCTGCATATGTTTGGTGTGCTAATAAATAAACTTTTATTTCTCAGAGATTTAGTACCATTCTTCAAACTGTATAGAAATTTAAAAAAATAGACTACTAATTTTATAATTAAACAATTTCATGTATAAATAAATGTTCATGTCTTTCTCTTATATAAAAATCAGTACTTACAAATCAAACCAGGTTTAAAAGGGATAAGGAATATCTTATATATTTTTACAATTTCAAGTTATTAGGAATCTAAATAAGACCTAACCTATTGAAGTCATCAGTTTTCTAATGGCGGTTATGGACATTTTGTTATACTTCCTTAAGTAGTCTGCCATAAACGAGGCCATCCATGAACTGGCAACAAAGAATATAAAAGGCAATGTAGAAAGCAACCCGTTCTGCAAAGAGAAAGGTGAATAAGAAAATTGTATATCTTAAAAAATATCTTTTTTAAAAAGACTACAAATCACATTAGATATTTAACTTTAAATTGCACAGGTATTAAAAGTTACAATTAACTTTTAATATTTAGCTTAATTTGTCATGAATTGGCAAAAAAATTTCTAGAAGTAAATGTTAAAAGCAGTCCCTAAATGGAACATACAACAGGCAGGGACGACACATGAGACTAAAAATGATAGAAACTGAATTGATTTTTAGTTTTTATTATATTTTTAATTATTCAATCGTATCTACCACTATGACTTACATTTAAAATCATTTATATTTAAAACAAAATTTTTTAAGGCTGTATATACTCTGCAAAGATGATTATAATAGCATCACGGCTTTTCATGCCGATGATGCTGGCATTCTTCAAAAATCAGCAAATCCAAATCTAGCTTTAGCAAAAATTCAAAACAAATTTTACGATATCGAAGTCTGGTGTCTTATTGGAAACTCGAACTTAATGCCAGCAAGTCGCAGTTTTTGATTGTACAAAAGGATATAAAAACCATCTCTCCCAGTAATCAACTTGTACTATTCAACAAAACAATTCCAATTGTAAGCAAAACTGTTTACCTTGGTCTAACAGTCAACAATAAGCTCACTTGGAAGGACCAAGTTTCTAACATTAAAAGAAAGGTTGCTGCGGCAACTAATAAATTAACAAATTTGATCAATATTTTATTAAACAGAACAGAAATTTCTTTGAGAAGGCATTAATTTGTGACGCCGCCGATTTCAACAAAATTTTTGACTGCATCAACCTAGTTGATGACGCTAACATCAGACCTTTGGCTCACTTTTTTACTTCCGATGTTATCCTCACACTTAAAAGATGCATTAACACACAGATAGTCGAAACCCTGTGAAAGAGCAACCCCTTGTGGGTCTGATCAGGGCGAGATAAATCCGATAATCACGAGATAAACACGAGTGGTAAATGACCAAGACGGTCGAGTTTCTACACACACTTTTTCTTAAAGATACACTTTTTTGTTAATGAAATTTTTTATGATCTTGTCGTTTCTCATCTTGAATTTTGCTAACGCTTCTCATATTTTGTAAATAGTTATTCTACTTGTAAATATGTCTTGTATTTTTCTATACATTCAATTATTTGTTTCCTATTACCATGGCAAAGTGCCATTCTTTTTTATTACCATGGCAAAGTGTCATTCTTTTTTCTGTACCTTAACATGAGCCATCTAAGTGTTTTTGCTTAAGTTGTCATTACTGGATGAATGGGAAAAAGACCATTATTAAGTCGAAAGTTTACTTAATAAAATTTCGTTTCTCATAGGTGCGTTTACCAGTGCACCTCCCGCGTTTACCATTACTGAAATCCTGACCTACGTTACCTCACGTTGACAATCAAACTACAGCCATCTGCAGTTTACAGCAGGTTGCTCTTATTATTTCAGTTATACAAGCAAGGTGCTTGTCTCCCAGTAACAGCCACCCCATAGACTGCTGAACTATATATATATCTATATCTATATCTATATATATATATATATATATTTTTTTTCTGAGACAGTTATGTATGAATGCTGAAACATGAAGGAAGAAATTTTTTTTACAGTACAACTATCGTTTTATGTTAAAAGGGCATTTATTTTTTATGCTTTGTTTAGAAACATAAAGAGACCAAAGAACATCTTAAGGGATTGTGGATCTCATTTCAAATCAGCTTAAGTAAATAGAATTAAATTGTTTTTTATTATTTGAATTAACAGTATTTGTTTATGCTTACATGGTTACTGCTACTTTATAGCCTAAAATAATAATTTCTTGTTTTGTAATCAAATGGAGAAGTGTATTATTTCTTCTTAGTCTAAATCAACTACAGTTTAAATGGTCATAAAAAGTATATTTAATTCTTAATTTATTTACCATTTGTATCAATGTTAATGTACTCAAAGTTTGGTATGAAATAAAACCTAATATAAAAAAGAAGCTGCTTTTGTACATAGTCTTAAAAAAAAGCTACAAGTAAAGTAAAGTTTCATTTTTTCATAACATGTTACACATATATAATTTTTTTTTT